TCCCAGTTGCTTTCTCCTTCTCCCACTTTTCCTCCTTGTCCTTGGCTTTCTTCACTTGCTGCAAACTGAGCTCAAAATACTTTGCCCTTTTCATTGGCTCAGACAAATGCAAACTGCTGCAGTTTCTGCTGTCTTGTGTGTTCTTTCTCCTTAATAACTTTTGCTGTCTTGACTCACTTGTTGCTTGTCCAGATGGTTTTTATCAGTGAAATGTTGGGCATGGTCGTTTCTTGTCTCTTCCTTTAGTAAGAGACACCATTATGTTGGGCAATGAGAAGTTGGTTATTCTCCCCTTCTTTTCATGGAGTTATGCGATTAAAATAGTATAACTTCATGTGTGTGGCCCTGAGCACTTGAAATATAAGCAGGAAGGGAGTGGAGGCAGAATTCAGAAGTGAAAATAAATTATTGTTTTCTTTGAGTTTCTGGTGAAGCGCATATTTCCTCTGCAATTGAAACTGTTATGGCAGTGTCAAAAGATTAAATCGTTATAACTATTATATATCTCTGTGGTTAAAATCTGCTTTGATGAGTTATTCATTGAACTATGCTTAGTAATCTTTTGATTGTCTCAATATATGGGTTGTTTTATGAGAGAAAAACATATGGAAGGCATGAGTCAAGGAGCTCATGGGAGAAGACCATTTTCCAAGCAAGTTTGTTATGGAGCAAAGTTCCAGCAAGTAAGTTTCACATTTAACCATTTGCCATCTGAACAGATGATAGGCACATGTTCAATGACTAGATGAGAGCTCAGAAAAGTTACTTTTACACACAACATGTCCCAGAATCTCCAAGCCAGCACTGTCAAGAAACTACCCAAAGGCAATGTGGTGCTCCTGCTGACTTGGTTCATGAAAAATATTTACCCTTGCCATCCAGTTGTAGCAATATAGTTTGGGATTGTGGATCTGAACTGCTGGGTCAGTTCAATATTTGCTATTGATTACTTGGCAACAATTGAGATTATTGTCATGGTTGTTCCTGAAAAGGTCCATTTTTTTTGTTTGGTTGCACACTCTAAGTCATTTCTGTTATAAGCGAACCAGCCATCTACAAAGATGTTGCCCAGGGGACACCCAGATGTGTTATGATACCGTGGGGAGGCTTCTCTCATTGTCTCATATTGCACCACCTGCTATCTGTTGGGAAGTAGCAGTCAATAATGAAAGGACCAAGGCAGTGACATCTCTGGCCCATCTGAATACCAGCCAGCATGCCAATGTATTACATCCAGAAACAGATTTCTAAGATTTACAAAGATACTTGCAGGAACACCTCAGCAAATGAGAGTCCAAAAGTAACAGGCAAAAACTAGGAATCTCAATCAGTGGCTGTTACCAGATGAGAAACTACCCCCGGGCACACAGAAGACTGGGCGACTTGGAACAGGCTGCACTCTGGCACCACGAGATGCACAACTGACCTTAAGAAAAGGGGTTACAAAGTGGAGCCCACAACATGCAAGTGTAGAGAAGAACAAACCACAGACCACTTACCACAATGCAGTTTGAACCCTGCCACATACACAATGGAGGGCCTTCTCACAGTGACACCAGAGGCACTCCAAGAGGCCAGCTTCTTGCCAAAGAAAATCTAAGTATAATGCCAGGTTTTTAAACTTTGTTTGTGTTCTTTTAAATACATTCTAACTTTACACTTCTGGCACAATAAATAAAATACTTTGCATCAATTTACATCACCTTAAATAAAATTGATCCCCCAATTATTATCAGATTTACAATATATCGTTTTATTGCATTCTGAGTTATAACAAAGATATAGGTATGCATTTGTCCCTCAAACCTTTTAATTATTTCAGTGTTTAGAACACACTGGAAAAGATGAGTCCAACTGAAATTCACATTCTTATGGGAGCCTAAAGGTCATAACTAAAGCAGGGAGGAGCTGAGGAGCCTTCTAAAAAAAGTGAAAGAAGAAAGTGAAAAGCTGGGTTGCAGTTAAACATCAAAGAAATCAAGATTATGGCACCCAGACTGATTGATAACTGGCAAACAGAGGGAGAAAATGTGGAAGCAGTGACAGACTTTGTACTTCTAGGCACTAAGATTACTGCAGACACAGACTGCAGCCAGGAAATCAGAAGACATTAACTTCTTGGGAGGAGAGCAATGACTGGTCTTGATAAAATAGTGAGGAGTAGAGACATCATTCTGGCAATGAAGATCCACGTAGTTAAAGCAATGATATTCCCCATAGTAACCTATGAATGTGAGAGCTGGACCATAAGGAAGGCTGAGTGAAGGAAGATATATGTGCTTTTGAACTGTGGTGCTGGAGGAAAGTTCTGAGAGTGACTTGGACTGTGAGATCAAACCAGTCCATACTACAGGAAATAAAGCCCGACTGCTCATTGGAGGGAAGGATATTAAAGGCAAAGATGAAGTACTTTGGCCACATCATGAGAAGACAGGAAAGCTTGGAGAAGACATTTTTTTTTGTCGTGTCAGGAGCATCCTGTTGTGAGAGAATTGGCCGTCTGCAAGGACATTGCCCAGGGGATGCCTGGATGATTTTTGATGTTTTATCATCCTTGTGGGAGGCTTCTCTCATGTCCCCGCATGAGGAGCTGTAGCTGATAGAGGGAGCTCAACCGCCTCTCCCCAGATTTGAACCTGCGACCTGTCGGTCTTCAGTCCTGCCAGCACAGGGCTTTAACCCACTGCGCCACCGGGGGCTCCAAAGAAGACAATGATGCTAGGGAAAATGGAAGGAAAAAAGAAGAGGGGCCGACCAAGGACAAGATGTATGGATGTTATCCTTGAAGTGACTGGCTTGACCTTGAAGGAGCTTGGGGTGGCAATGGTTGACAGGGAGCTCTGGCGTGGGCTGGTCCATGAGGTCACGAAGAGTCAGAAGCAAATGAGCAAATAAACAACAACAACGAAGGAAATCTATATGCAAAGCAATCCATGTAGAATTGAAGATTCATCAGTTTACAGACCACAACCATCGACTTCTAATGTCATTGCTTTCTTTTTTGTGTCACTGAGCCATAGTTTTCTGGTAAATGTCATCCCTGGAGTCCTAAAAATTGTGATTTCTCCTTCATTTGCTGTCATGAAGTTCCACTTCAGTGGGATCCAACCAATACCAATGGTCTGTGGCTTGTCCATTTTAAGGCTGTCATAAATGTCTAGTTATGAGAAATAGGATAGTAAGTTACCTTGCAATGAATACTTGGCTTTTTTTTTCGTGGAGATTAAATATGCCTTCAGAACCTAATATAAACCTTGCAGAAAAGCAGAGTATGTGCTCTTTACATATTGAGAGGCTGAAGGAAAAAAAATGGGTACATTGTTACCGAGAAAATTGCAGGTATGCCCAAAACTTATTTGAAAGCAAATGGCATAAGTACTAAACTCTGCTTTTGATTCTTAATTATACCCAACTTTCTTGGGTAGGTGTGTTCACAAGCTGAGGTTAATCCTCACATTTGAAGTGTACTGTAACACTCCATCAATTCTTGAAGGAATTATTTTGCATTACCATCTTTATCTGTACATTTTTAAAAACCTGTAATACTTCTAATTTTCAGTCATCTTACCACACAATTTAAGATGAAATGCTAGGATTTAAACCTATTTAGTTTGAAGAAAGTAAATATGAACCATCCTGTTAATGTCTTCTCAAAGGATGACATGCACAGGACCTGCTCCCAGGTAAACATGGATAGGACTATAGCCCTAAATTAGCCTAATTCCAAGATTCATTACTTCACCGGAGTTCAGAATAGTTTGCAGCCAGCTTGCATTTCCTGTTAATAGGTAATGTTTTCTCCTGTGTAAACAGAGCCAGCTGCACTCTGTGTAATTGTGTAAACTCTTTAAGCCAATTAATCCCTATTGTCCAAATCAAAAGCTCTGTATGTGTGCGCTAAAGCATAACCCCTTTAGAGCTTTCCTTCACATTACAGGATATTGTTCCCACCCATTGCAGCAACTGAGGAAACCCTTGTAGGGAAAAGGACTCCATAGATTACAAAGACACTTGACTTCAGTCTAAATACTAGAAGGCATCAGATCCTGTTTGGTCTTGGAGGCTTAGCAGGGTTATCCCAGGGTTAGAGGCAGTGTTCCTCCTAGATCCTTAGTACTATATAAACATATTTTGGGTGTCCCTTTGAATTCATGTCTTATACTTAGAAGTGATTAAATGTTCATGTTTACTTAGAACAGGCATAGGGTTGAAGAGAACATAGTCCAAGTCCTACATGGAATTCAGTCTGAAGCAGTGGTTCTCAACCTGTGGGTCCCCAGGTGTTTTGGCCTACAACTCCCAGAAATCCCAGCTAGTTTTCTGAGAGCTGAAGGCCAAAACGTCTGGGGACCCACAGGATGAGAACCACTGGTCTAAAAGCTAGAGACATTCTTTCCATGTCTGACTTTTCTAGGCTCAAGCTTGGATGATAAACTGACTCTAAACTTTATTCTTTGAAAACAATAAAGATATCATGTGTTTCATTGCCATAAAGAAGTTTCAGGATAATGTGCTTATTTCAGGAATAGGTTTTATATAATATTTTCTAAATCTTAGGTTTAAAGAACTCCGGTTCTAAATGTTTTAATTTTTACCATCGTTGACAAGGTGGCATTGAAAGCAAACACCAGGTTACTAAGAGTATTATTGCAAGCTAGCACGGAAGATTGGGTTACCATAATGTTTTGCTGCTCAGTCATTCCACTGTGCAACCCCAACTTTGCCCCCAAAGTGTTTAGAGAGATTTGGGAGTGGTGTAATGTCCTGAGTATTAGATTATGACTGGAGGAGAGGGCTCGAATCCCCACTTGTCTATGGAAGCCACTGCGTGATTTTGGGCAACCCACACACTCAGGAAACCTCATGAGAGGTTCACCTTAGGGTCATCGTAGTTGGATATGACTTGGGCACACAATGACAATAAATGAAGCAGCATTGGGATGTGCAAACAAACTTGTGCCAGTTAACATTTTGTTTCAATCAAGAGACTTACAAATTGGTTTATATAAAAAATAAAATACTTTTATTTTTCAACTAGAAAGGTGCAAACATGTAACTTTTGGTCACACTTCTCAACAGGTAATAAATTGTTCCCAGATGGAAATATTGGTCAGCAATGAAGGAGCCATTCGTTTTGACTTCAGGCCATTTTCACTAAGGCAGAGAGAAGTTGGTATCCCCAGCTGCCTCCTTGCCCTTAACTTGACAAACTGCTTTGGGAGAAGACTGGCACACCTCCAGCAAAACATCAGTTCAGTTCACTGTTCCTTCTACTGACTGATCAGAACTGCCATTACAAAATCTATTTTATGTGTTGAATGAATACATTTAAATCAGACAAGCCTTGCATTGTAAAAAAAGAAACAGAAAGAGAGAGAGAGAGGCTAACACTGATGTATCAAAGCATTAGCGGAAAAGGCAACAAAATTTTAAATTAACTTAGATAACTGTACAATATATATACACACACATACATTCAAACACACACGCGCACACACACCATATTTACAATCTTACAATACTGTAATATTACAATAGTAATTTTTTTAAAAAAACATTGAGCTTGTGACAGACAGTTCCACTGCCACAAGCTGTCCAGTCTAATTCCAATTCTTTCTGAATGAACCATTCGAATCAGAACTTCAAAGGAGAATTGCTGCCATTCTAACAAGACATAGTTCCTTAGCATCTTGCTGGGTGAGAATCCCAGTCCAGTGGTCGCTGTCACAAAATAACAGTGTCAGTGACCTTGCTAAGGAGTCCTTTTCGATTGCACTATTCAGTGGACCACACGTTACCACATTGTGACAAATGTTGTTCAAGAGTGCATGGGTCCCCTTAAGTAATCCCTATATATACCCTACCCCTCATATACTCTATTCTGAGGTTCAACTTAGGTGTTGTCCCTCACTGTCTGTCTTATTACTGTTATTTTTTTTCTTCCTTCAAACCAATGTTTGGGGTCAGAAGACAACTTTGTCTGAAGTCACATGGAACAGTTTTTTAAAACAGACAATTAAATATCTTGTGCTATTGAATCAGGTTTTACAAAATGAGATGCAATTAGTTCAAGTTGACAGTCAAGTTTAAAAGTCTCTAGGGGGCTTTTAGGCCATGTCTCCATACATCTTCCGGTAGTACACAGACTCAAAGATGTCATTGTCTCCAGGGCAGTTGTAGTGGCACGCACAGGTCTTGATAAACATCATCCTCTTCTTCATGACCTCACCGTCAGGGCACTTGAACTCCACGGGGAGGGTGGCTGTTCTGTGGGGGGTGCAGCAACGCCCATCAGTGCAGACGCCACAGAACTTGGCACGGTACGTCTTCACGCTGGTGCAGCCAGACAGCTCAAATTTGATAGGCTTGGAGATCTTGGGAGTACGGATGCACTTTTTGCCTTTCTGATGGGGAAAAATGAGAGAATTCATTTAGTTCCAGGCCAGATGTACAAGGCTCCCATTCATATTATCCACATCTAAACAGCCAGAATGCAGAATCTATTAGCTTCATTCCCCCTTCGAACAATTATGTCTTGTCTCATTGACATCAGTGGGAACTAACTTAGGGCCCTTCCCGACAGCCATATAACCCAGAATATCAAGGCAGAAAATCCCACAATATCTGCTTTGAATTGGGTTATTTGGAATATATCTGCCAAATATTCCAGTTCAAAGCAGAAAATGTGGGATTTTATTCAGCTGTATGGAAGGGGCCTTTTTGGAATCAGTGCCCCAAGTACAACTAAATCAGGGTGAACGGTTTGATTGCACCACTGGAAGAATTGAGCATATGTTCAATTAATCCACTTGCTTTTATGAGACCTATCATTGAATCTGTATGGATAGGACAACAACCTTCAGGTGCTTACATTTTGCTGACTGAAATCCATCACCTGGATTTAAGTTCCATTCTCTTTAATCTTTTTATCTATCTGCATCTATTTGTACCAGATTGCTTATTCTTGGTCCGAGTCCCTTGAATATTTCTATCATATTCATTTAAATAAAGCCCATTTTTACATATATATATATATATATATATATATATATATATAATCACCCATAATCAAGTTTCTACCTGGTTTCTATTTGCCAAAGCTTACACACTTACATAAAAGTAAGCCCCAATGAATTCAATGTTTGATCTGCCCCCATTTCTGGAAGTAGATCACAATAAATTCAGCAGGACTTACCTTTAGGCACAGGACTACAGTATAAGGGGGGGGGTCTCCTCTCAATTTGCAGTATTAAAGTCTGAAGTGTGGTTATAAATGTTGTCAAAATGGCATCAGTGACACACAATAGGACTGAGCAGGAGCTCAATTTAATTTTGTTGCACGTCCTGATTATTGTATTTGCACTGGGTTAAAAATGAATCTCAGGGCAATATGACAACTATGAAAGACCTTGTATAGATTAGAGTAAATGCTTTTTGTAAAAAGAAGCCCAGGCAGACATTTACCTTGATGCTCTCCTCCAGGTCAGCTTCACAGGGTCTGACCATACAAAGCCTGCTCTGCTTCTCCAGTCTGCAGTAGGCATTGTCGTTGGTGACTCTGGTGGAGATGCCCATCCCGCAGGTCTTTGAGCAGGCGCTCCATTCGGTGGTCTGGACCAGACAGTTGGCACGCATCATGGAGAGGTCAGGGCCATAGGTATCTTCCAGTCTGTAAGCTGAAAAGAAGATTCAAAAGGAAAGGATTATAGTTGGCTGTGAAGAGCTCAGTCAGATGACATATTCCATAGAAAGGATGCTAGATACACGTGGCTACCAGATCAATAATAATGGAACAACTATAATAATGGATCAACATAGAACAATAAGGAAACATAAGCTTACCAGCAAGAGCAGGTCCAACTGCAGTCTGGTCTTTGTCCTTGGGCTCATCACACACCCATTCCTCGCAGCATTTCCCTGGGAGCTTCACCCTTCGTGGGTAAGGGCAGTCAGGGCTGGGCAGGCGGACATCCATGCTGCAGAGGGGCACGCAGCCCACAGCCCCATCCAGGCAAGTGCACTGGTATTTGCAGCTGCTTTGGAAGGACTCCCCACTCCGGTACACCATGCCTCCAAAGACACAGGGGGCACCATCCTTTGCTGTAAACAAAAAAGGGGACCACGTTAATTAAAAATCCTTGGGCACGTGCTTTGGTGGGGAACCTACACATTGTTCTTTTTGAAAAGATCGACAGAAGCAATATCTGGCACTACCTCCTATAGGAACCTCATTACATTAGAGAGAATGAATTCACTTTAAATCCAGTTTCTGCCTCCTGCAGACTTCTGGGGTTTGTAGTTTAGTGAGGCTGTTAAAGGCTCTTTCCTAAACTACAAATTCCTCAATTCTGCAGGAGGCAGCAACTGGATTTAAAGTGGATTCATTCTCTAGTGCAGGCATGGGCAAACTTGGGCCCTCCAGATGTTTTGGACTTCAACTCCCACAATTTGTTGAAGTCCAAAACACCTGGAGGGCCCAAGTTTGCCCAAACTGGCTTGAGTGTGATGAAGTAGCTAGGATCTTTTCTAGCAGTGTACTGTAAGTCCCATTCTCCCCAGATTGAGGGGAGATAGTGAGATACAATGGTGATATATTAAAGATGGGACGTCTACAACCCAAAGAGCCCACCGGGTTGAAAGGAAGGCAATGGATCATTACAGAAAACAACCCAACCCCTACAGCCTCACTAAACTACAAACCCCAGAATTCTGCAGGAGGCAGCAACCAGACTTTAAGTGGATTTTTTTCTCTCTAGTGTGATGAAGTTATTATAGTAACTTCATCACACTAGAGGGAAGAAAATCCACTTAAAATCCGGTTTCTGCCTCTTTCTGGGATTTATAGTTTAGTGAGGCTGTTAAAGGCTCCCCTGTAAACTACAAATCCCAGAATTCTGCAGGAGGCAGCAACTGGATTTTAAGTGGATTTTTTCCTCTAGTGTGATGAGACTAGAGCTACTTAGACCCAAGCTCTGAACACAACGCTCAGCTCTCTGCCGCCCCCTGAAGGAAGACTGTGGCGCTTCTTCCTTCCTTCCTTGCTTCCCTTTCCCCGGGCTGATCCAGGCAGGGCTACTACTTACTACTACTACTACGACTGCTACTCACCGGTGCAGACTCCGATCTTGCGGTTGGCGGGGGCGCCGAAGTCGCAGAAGAGCCCCTTGTGGGGGTCGCAGGGGTCTTTCTCGGTGCAGAGCTCGCCCAGCTGCTTGGCGCAGACCCGGCAGCAGCCGCACCCGTCCAGCACCAGGCTGACCCCGGGAGGGCACTCGGGCGGCGAAGAGGGGCACTGGCATTGCCCGCTGCAGTCCTGAGCAGACGCCTCCTGAGCGGGGAGACAAGAGGAGGGTTAGGGGCCACGCCAGGGCAAGAAGGGAAAAAGGAGGAAGAAGGAAGGAAGGAAGGAAGGGGAAAGCCCCTCCTCGGGGACACAACCGAGCGCCACTTACCCGGCTGAGCAGGGCGAGGAGGAGAGCCAAGGCGACGGGGAGGAGATGCATCTTCGCGTTCAAGGGTTGGGTCTGCAAGAGGGGAGAGGGTTTTCCAAGCGTCGTGGCGGGGCGAAGGTCTGTCTCGGCAAAGGATCCGACTTGTCTCGGGCTGGTGCTCTGCTTGGAGGCGAAGAGCAGCTCTGGTTGAGTCTGAGTCTCCAGCCGGCAGCCCGGCGGCTTTTTATAGGCTGGAGGCGCCTCCCGCTCGCCAATGGGCTGAATGGAGTCCCACACAAACAGCCACATTCCTGAGATGCCTCTCCACCTTCCTGCCTCATCAACTCACACCGGATTGATCCTGACCCCTTGACACGCCGCATTCCTCCCGTCTGAAAAAGGAAAGGGGAAAAAAAAAGAGGGGGGGGGGGGGGAGAAGGGAGCTGGCGCACTTCAGCGCACAAAAAAGGCCCTGTGTGTTTTGCACCAGGAGGGAAAGGAGGAAAAAATAAAAAGTGGTGGTAGAAGGGAAAGGGGGGGGGGGGGGGGGGGGGGGGGAGAGAGATGGGTTTTCTTCAACTTCCCAGCCTGGATTCTTCCCACCACCACAGACCTGATTTATAGGACTTAAAAATACATCCTTTTTGGAATACACACACACATACACACAGACATATTCCCCCTTCTCCACCTTTTCAAAGGATGCCACAAAAATGCAACCTCTCTGTGTGTGTCCGTCTTTCCTCCAAGTTACATAAATCACGTCCTAGCCGACACTTTTGGAGACCAACGGAGAGAAGAAGCTGGGGAATTATTTATTTCTTGAGAAGGATTTTATATCTTTTCGGGTTTGAAAAGAACACCAGAACTTCTGAGGATGCTTGCCATAGATGCAGGCGAAATGTCAGGAGAGAATGCTTCTAGAACATGGCCATATAGCCTGAAAAATCTACAACAGCCCGACATCAGAACTATCACCAGTCTCTCCATTGCAGTGTTCATTCATGGACTGCCATACATTGCAAGCACATATCAAAGAGAAGAGTGCAGTTTGCCACTCAAAAAAGGACTCTTGAACTGCTTTTTGGGATCGTTCTGGCAAACAGGTTGTTATCACTCTTGCCTACTCCATGGTACTTGCAGACAGAGGACCTACTGTACACCATGCAGCTGTGGACAAGTCTCCACAGGGACCAACAAACGCAGCATTGCTCAAACACAAATCAAGGAGCATGACAAGCACTGCAGACTAACTCAACCTGAGAAAGCAATGGCAGAGTACTTGCTGAACCAACCGAGAGTTGGACACGATTGGACTTAATGTCAGGTTTTCCCCTGACATTAAGTCCAATCGTGTCTGACTCTGGGGGTTGTTGCTCATCTCCATTTCTAAGCCTAAGAGCCAGCGTTGTCCATAGACACCTCCAAGGTCATGTGACTGGCATGACTGCATGGAGCGCTGTTACCTTTCCGCTGGAACAGTACCTATTGAACCAACCTGGACACAACATATTATTTAAGAACACAGAAATGCTGGACCACTCTAAGAACCACCATGTCAGACTACACGGAGAAGCCATTGAAATCCACAAGCATGCGGACAATTTCCACAGAAAGGAGGAAACAACAAAAATGAACAAAATCTGGTTGCCAGTATTTTTAAAAAATCCCTCTAAAATCAGGACAGTAAACACTAAAAAACAGGAGAATTCTAGACAAGAATCAATCAGGATCCCCGCAGGCAGGAATCAGCCAAGCTTTGAAGCTGCAAGGTCATTAAATGCTAATCAAGGTGGCCAGTTGCAACATTTACACTTGCCTCAAACAGACAAGAGTTCTTTCTCCCATCCTCGGCATTCCACAGATATATAAACCCCACTTGCTTAGTTTCCTCCAGACTGCACAACCTCTGAGGATGCCTGCCATAGGTGCAGGCGAAACATCAGGAGAGAATGCTTCTGGAACATACATACATACAGAACCCATACAGCCCAGAAAACTCACAGCAATCCAAAGGGCTAACAACTTTCATTCAACTATCCATTACACCAGGCATGGGCAAACCTTGGCCCGCCAGGTGTTTTGGACTCCAACTCCCACAATTCCTAACAGCCCGAGGCCCTTCCCTTTTCCCCTAAGCCACTTAAGTGGCTGGGGGGGGGGGGGGGGGGAAGGAAAAGGCCTGAGCCTGATATGAATTGTGGGAGTTGAAGTCCAAAACACCTGGCGGGCCCATGCCTGCATTACACTATGTAACATTATTTTTGTTCCTGTGTTGTACATTTTATTTCCTAATTGGTTCTATCATAACAACATGGAAAAAGTTTATTACACTGCAAAAATTGTTTTTGAGGGACATCCTGCAGCACATTTTGCTATAGTTTTTTGATATCTGAGTCTCAGTCAATTCAACATTGTTTCTAGCAGACAGAAAAACAAAGTTTCTGGAGTATAACAACTACTTTCAAAGTAAGTACTGTACAATTAATAGGAAATAACACTTTAAAAACAGGAACAGGAAAGTTTTTAAATTTTGTGACACAGTGTTATCATTTGTGACACAAAGTCTCTTAGCAGCATGTATTCTGTGCAGCTTACTCCCAAGTAAATGTACCTAGGATGTTGTGTAGGTGACATTGGCTATTCCTGGGATGGCACAATAACAATTAACCTTAATATTTTTTCTATGCTTAATAATTTAGTACATTTCTGATTGGTGTCTGAGGAGGCTCACCTCTGTGGCATTCTTGGTGGTCCTATAGGGACCATATTTTAGCACAACAGGTTAAACCTCCAGCTGCAGAAAATCTTGCTAATAAAATGGTCAACAGTTCAAGTCCAGGTTGGGATGAGCTCCCAACTATCTGCTCAGGTTCTGCTCACCTAGCAGTTCAAAAAAAGTAATGTGATTAGATAAATAAGTATCACTTTGGTGGGGAGGTAACAAACGGAGCCCATGCGGACATGCTGGTGATTCAATTGAGAGAGTATCTGAAGACAGCAAAGCTCCTTGGCATGGAAGATGGAGCAATAGCACCACCCCGTGGCCTGAGTCCAGCACAGCATCCAGATGCCAGAGATGGAAAAGATGGGAAGTCTTTACCTCTGTTTTGTATAATGACATTGAATGTTTGCTGTATATTTGTACTGTAAAGCACTCTGATATTTATTTATACTCTGCCCTATCTCAGGGATTATTATTATTATTATTATTATTATTATTATTATTATTATTATTATTATTCCCAATCAATTTGCAGTGTGGGCATCCCCCCATTCCCATCTGGGGTTGGTTGACGTGTCCCTCTTTTGGGGCCCATACACTAAATCTAAATGGAAGTGCTTGTAAACATCTCTTGTGCGGAATCCTCCCAGTTCAAGGGAAACTGTGATATAAATGATTGGCTCTTCCCCCACGTCATTCCCCACTTTTTTGGTCAATTTTTTTCTGCAGTACTCCAGGTTCAAGGAAAGATTTCCTTCCCCCTCCAAAGAAATGCAAGATCATCAATATAGGACGTGATTCATTTGAAACAAACCAACAAACCATAATTTCACTTCCGATGGATGATGCGCACAGTTATAAATGGATCCAAGCACATCAACAAACACTCTCTGCTGTCAACACTGGGATAATCTCACTGGCTCTGTTGCAATAATTCTGGAGTAAACCTCTTGGGGGTGTAGGGCAAGTGTTCTGTTTTATTTTAATAGACTTGGATTGGACCTTTGTGTTTTTTCAGACAAGGAGTCTAACTTACTCCCCCACTCATCTCCTACAACCAATATGTAATGCTTCCAGAGAAACAGGTAAGAATGTGCTACTTGATTCACCCCAGGCCACGGTGATGATGACAAGCAGACAAGTGCAAGGTTTGTGTGTGTATGAAAGGGAGCATGTGGCAAGGATGGTTGCTAGGAACCAAGCCTGGGAATTCCCTAGCCCTCCCCCCTTACTATTTTTTCCCCATGTCTGAACAAGAAAATACAAAACAACATCTCAAACTAATTTTATATCGGAAACATGGGATGCTGAACTTGTAGGCTGCCACACTCCCCCTTTTTCTTCTTGATGTGCACTATTCTCCCATGAAAAGTAGGCAGTTTAGGAAAGTTTCTTAATGTAGCAGCCAAAGTCACCGATACTATGCAGTACCTGTTTTGCAACAGATTCTGTGGACTACTGAATCTCAATGGGATAGTTTTCCCTAATAGGTACTTTCTATGAATAGAAAGAGCATTTCAACAGGAGGAGAGACGTCTTTGGAATACTTGGCACAATTGAGTGAGTCTACAGCATGGAAGATGTGGCTCCGATTTTTCCCACTGCGTATGTAGAAAAGTCAGTCGTAAGCAAAACATTCCACCTTTCAGGGCTCCTTAAACTTGGTCTCCTCCCTTTGCCTACGCAAATCAAAAAACAAAGACAAAAAGAGAGTGAGAATGTGTGAAGGCTGTTTGTTTGTTTGTAACCTATATCCTCAAAGTTTTCTACTTTTCTACTCAAACTTCTACTTTGAAGGCAGCACACAAGCTTCCTTTCCCTGTGTTTAAGTCACACCCACCCTGTGAGGTAGGCAGAGCTCAGAGGCAGTGACCGGTCTAAGATCATCCAGTAAATTTCATTGCTATAGTGAGGATTTTAACCTGGTTTCCCCATCCAAGTCCAGCACTCTTACCCAAAAGGATTTTAGTGTGGTTTATGGTACTTTTATTTCCTTGCAACAATCTTATGATGTGGGTAAGCTGACAAATGGCAAGTGACTCAATGGCATCCAGGATAGGCTTTATGGTTGAGAAGTGTGAATCTACACCTCTTCAGCTTAACTGGTTGTCAATAGGATGTACTAGGTCCTGGCAGGGGGAAGCTTGGGTCCCGGCCCTCAGCTATGAAGCATGCTGGTGGCCATGGCCAGCATGCTTCATAGCTGAGGGTTGGTGTCACAACTTAAGGTGCTGCCCAGCGATTGAGTCTCAAATGCATTCAAGGGTCTATGAATACCCTACAGCAAGTGACTCCGTTCGAGACTAAACTCCACATCCCTGAAATCTGCAAAAGGATATCCTATGTGTTGTTGTCGAAGGCTTTCATGGCCGGAATCAGGGGTTGCTGTTAGTTTTCTGGGCTGTATGGCCATGTTCCAGAAGCATTCTCTCCTGAGATTTCACCCACATCTATGGCAGGCAACCTCAGAGGTTGTGAGGTAAATTGAAAACTGGAATGTCCAGAGTGGGAGAAAGGACTCTTGTCTGTTGAAGGCAAGTGTGAATGTTGCAATTAATCACCTTTATTAGCATGTCAAAGCCTTGTAGCTTCAAGGCCTGGCTGATTCCTGTCTGGGGGAAGCCTTTGTTGAGAGGTGTTAGCTGGCCCTGATTGTTT